GACGTTCATCAATACTCCCTGAAACCTTCAGACCCATTAGTCCCCAATTAGCACTAACCTTGAAGACTCATCTCTCTTAATATAGTAATGGCTAGTAATATTCCACTGATCACGTTGATAATAGTGCTGGGATCACAAGTTGCTTAACCAGCAACAAGAAGCAAATAGACCAAATACCCATTTCCTTAACTGGAATGTGCTTTTATTGGGTGAGCGGGGGACAGAAAGCAGGTTTGTAAATATTTATAACAACTAAGTAATATCACTAATATTTGTGGAGTCCTGTAGCTCAGTGGTTAGAGCACTCGCTTTGCAAGTGAGAGACCTGAGTTCAATCCCAGGCAGAGGGCGAAACCTTGGGCAAGTTTCCTTACTCCACACAGGGCCCTAATAATAATCCCTCCAAAACCAAAAACAATAATAAATTGGTCATTTTCAATCCACGACTGTTTGTGGGACATCGCTGTGCGCAATTGGCTGCCGCATTCGCCCACAAATATAGTCAATTCATTTTGCAGTGTGTTCTGTGAAGCGCTTTGGGATGTCCTCCTGACGTGAAAAGCGCTATATCAAATGCAAGGATTATTATTTGTTTGAGGCCAAAATCGCTTGTAATTCATTCAACTTGCTGGGTTTGGTAGATTTTTGCTTTATTTCAAGATGCCAGCTTTCTTTAAAAAACTGGATGGGGAAATGGTAAGGCCATTCATGCCATCCAGCCAGTTCCACCATTTATTATTCACCTACAAAAACACAGTCACTGCACTTTACAGTATATCATGTGAAGCTCTTTGAGATGCATGTCTTCCTGACGTGAAAGGCAGCATCTCAAATTCAAGGATTGATATACTTATCAGATTTGGGCAAATCTTTCAACTCCATTACCTCTCTCCTCAGGCCACGAACATCCATTGATCCCACCCAAGATCGTACAGCAGTGGATTTCAGCACGAGAGCATGTCTGTCCGGTGCCTGGACACCTCTGTACAGTTTGTAGCCCCATGGCAACAGTGTAAAGTTAGATTGCTCCCCCTCGCTCCATTATGAGCAAGAATGTGTGTTGGCCAAATATAGTCCTCAGATTTAAAGGATAATTCAGGTTGTGTGTGTGTATGTTTCTGATCTGATGTTAAACTCATGAGTCCCAGTGTAGTGTAGTGGTTAGAGCTCTCTCCTTGCAAACGAGAGGATCTGGGTTTGATTCCTGGGCGAGGTGAAACCTTGGGCAAGTTGTCTTACTTCACGCGCCTCTGTTTACCTAGAAGTAAGTAGGAACCTAGTTGTTAGTCGATTTGCGGATCACTTTTCTGGGAGATAATAAACTCTTCAAAAAACCTATAATTTGGTCACTCAATCCATCACTGTTTGTGGGACGCTGCTGTGCGCAATTGGCTGCTATGTTTCGTCCACAAAATATACAGTCAATCCACTTTACAATAAATTCTGTGAAGCGCTTTTGAGTCGTTTTGAAGACGTGTTAAAACGCTATATCAAATGCAAGTATTATTATTATTATTATTATTATTATACTCCGTCCTTTAGAACAAAGTGTCCTCCTTCAGGAACTATGTCCAAAGACTTATCGTCTTACAATCTGGTCAGCACTTCCTCCTATTACTCTTTGCCAATGACTCTCCTGTTCTCTCACTCAGTTGCACTCTGATCATCTACCTTTACCACAGCTTAAAAGCTCCTGCTATCGTTTTCACCAAGAACCTTGGAAAAAACATTTCATTGATTGATCTTTTACTGGGATCTTTTTCAAATGGTTCAGCAATACTGTACATTGTTATTTGGCGTCATTATTATTTGGAGCTCTGGTACAGACGCCTCCCACCTTCCCCCCCCCCCACCACCCACCCTTCAAAGAGGTCTTTTGCTGGAAGTGGCAGCTCATGTCTCTGGCACAGAGAGAGGGGCACTGGCAGGCATTAACTGTCACGTAACACTTTGACTTTGGGTTTAGACATTTAACATGGCATATAAAGCCAACATAAATCAGGGTAACGTAACCATTTTTACTGTAAAGTGCAGCGACTCTGCGTTTTTGTAGGCCAAAGCCATAGCCAATTTGTGCAGTGAAATAATCCCTTCAAAATAAAATTTAAAAAAAACTGATCACTCAATCCACGACTGTTTGTGGGGCGCTGCTGTCCGCAATTAGCTGCCGCGTTTCGCCCACAAATATACAGTCACTACACTTTACAGTATGTTCTGTGAAGCGCTTTGAGATGTCTCGAAGACGTGATAAGGTGTTATGTCAAATGCAAAGATTATTATTATTAATATTATCATAATGCCTCGCTCTTCTCCAGACCCCAGGATTGCACTGGAGCATCAGCCTAACTATCAACTCAAAAGACTACAAACCTCTGATTCAAAGGCAACTGTTGCTACCAAATGAGCCAAGCTGCCACCTTCTGTTCAACCAACACAACTTGCCAACTCCTTTCTAAATAAAGGGCAGCGACAATGATACAGAGGAACTAGCCAACATGTGTGTGTGTCAATGCAGATACAGATCACTCAAGATTACACAAAGCCAATGACAACCAGAGACCCGATCTCACGGCTAATCCACCCTCAGGAAACCATTCTAAACCCCAGAGGAGGAAGATAGGCTTTTGTGATCACTTCACATCCTCAATCGATTCTGGGAGCTGTCATCTCCAGGTAGGGGGAAACTTCTCGGAAACCCTGCAACTAAAAAGATGTCATAACTTTACACCATAGATCTCAAAAACATTTTTGCCCAAAACAAAAATCTTTAACCCTTCCAAAACTTAACAGTAAGATTCATCAGAAGCACCATTCTTCAGATGAGACAAACCAAGATCCCATCTACCTAACCAAGTGGGTGCTAAAAAATAAAATCACACACTGTTGGAAAAGAGAAGGGAGTTTCTCCCTCCAAACCCCACCCTCCTACCTCCAAACTTGCGTCCTCACTGACCCCCACCCCAGCCCCCCCACCACCACCTCAAATAAAATCAATCATTCACCTCTAAGTAATAATCCCTTTGAAAAAAGTGGTCACTCAATCCATGACTGTTTGTGGGACGCTGCTGTGCGCAATTGGCTGCCGCTTTTCACCCACAAAATATAGTCGATTCACTTTGCAGTATAATCTGAAGCGCTTTGAGACGTCTTGACGACTATGTGAAATGCGAGGATTATTATTATGACCAATTAATGACCAGGAACTAGGCCAATGGGCTTCTCAGCGAGCTCTGAGAAAGAAAGAACCAGCCATTATTCACAGCTGGGTGCAAGTCTAGAGAAAAGGCTGGAATCATGAAGCTCTTGAGATTGATAGCTAAACCCCTCCAGGCACCTCCACTCGCTGCAGTCAGCGAGGCCGAGGGGAGACGTTTGTCTGGAGACTGCACCAGAATCGCACAAGGCAAGCTCCAGCGCACAGCCTCCAAACAGGGCCATAAAATCAAGGCATTACAGCAGTCAGCAAATCCTGGTCATAACTATCAGCTGCATTGTGTGAGGCACCGTCTCCGGCTGATCTGTAGAATTTCTTGATAAAATGTTCAGTTAGCTAATATCTTATCCATTGACTGTGAGGACCATCAAGAACAATAATAATAATAATCCTTTGATATAGCACCTTATTACTTCTTCAAGATGTCTCAAAGCGCTTCACAGGATATACTGTAGAGTGGATTAGCTGTGTATTTTGTGGGTGAAACGCAGCAGGCAATCATGCACAGCAGCGTCCCACAAAAGTCGTGGTTTGAGTGACTCCATTTTTTAATTAAAGGATTATTATCCCTGGAAAGTGATCCGACAATTGACTAACAACCAGGTTCCTACGTACTGCTGGGTAATAGAGGTGTGGCGCCTACAAACTAATTGTCAGACTCAGAGAGAGACAGAGAGATCAGCTCCAGCCTGACATGGGTCAAAATGGGCATTATTTTCAGCATACAGTACTATCCGCAGGGCACTGCAAAACTCAGGAGCCATTTCCTTCAATACATCAAGTGAACACATGTGGGGATAAGAGGCTACAGATCACAACCAACTGGCTTCCAGCAAACATTCCAGTTTTCAGTGAACTCAACAAAGGATCTGAAGTCAAGGTTTAAGCGCCTGCTTCACCCGCCCCTCCCCCCCCCACACACACCCACAAATACACACACCTCATGTTAAAACCCAATCAGTCCAAGGTGCGTTCAATGTACAGAGAAAATAGACATCAGCACATTCCAAGCATTTGATGATGGAGAGACATCACCCAGTGTGTGTGGCCCAGTCTCTTGTTTGAGTCTCTGGAGAGGAAATCTTGGTTCCATTTTCAGATTAAGAATCACCTCTGTCTACCCTTCGCTTCTCTCTCTTCCATCCCCCCCATCCCCTCCCCCGCTACGACCACTCACCTCCATCATCCCTTCTGCTTCCCCGCTCCCCCTCTCCCCCCCCACCCACTCACACCCCAATAGAGAATGACAGTAACACATAAACAGTTAGCCAAGTTTACAGAGCTCGTGAAAGATAAGCGCATGGAATAACGGACCCGGAATCGACCGGAACAGCAAATGTCTTTCCACGGTGATCCCAAAGAGGGATTTGCTTGTTTTCAGGGAAGCCCATTGTTACCTGTGGGAGAAACGCAGCCCTGTGTCAAAAGGAGTTCAGGATTTTTCCATTCAGGAAGTGGAATGATCAGTCCATATAAACCTGGTCACCTCAAGGCCAACTCTTATTGCTCTGAAGTAGTGCACGGGAATCCGACCATTTCATTGGTGACCAAGTTATACATTGGGTTTAGGGTTTGCTTAATCTACATTCACAATATAGCTGGTTAGTCCAACAGTTACCCCCAACGCACACTCTAAGCCTTGGATCTTGCCAACCTGCGCCTAATACTTTCCGGAATTAGGTAAACAGGATGTGTCCCTCTAGGGAGAGAGCGCGCATTTCCATTCCAACAATCTATCTCTGGGATTTCCAAGTGTAGGTGGGATGCATGGAATTCTCCGCTTGGTTTGGATACGCTAAAGCATGGTGATGGGTTTCCGCCTGTGTCAGACACCCGGGCTGGAGTAAGTTAGACACAGTGGATGATGCTATAAGGATGTGCCATTTCACGAAAGCCAGATCTTGTGACAGATTATGGGACAAGGGTGACTGAACCCTCCCGGCTCTTAAACCAGGTATAAGATATGTTAGAGTGCAAGCTGGACTCCAGTGTCCTCACTAGATATAAATGCACTGAGCAGCTTATGGGGATTTCCCCCTCAAACACACACACACACACCACTCACCACCCCCACCCCACCCCCTGTTGAGGTTTAAGACCATCAATGTCCTGGAGGCATCAGTATCGAGTCATCAGCTTCCAGGCTGCGTGTTTTAGAAAAAATCCGGATGGGTGTCTGAATTCCCCCGACATTCTCTCCCCACTCCTGTCTCTCCCGACCCCCCAACCCCAACCACGCCCCACACCCGCAGCCCATCGTAAGTGAAAGCAAACGGGAGACGCGCTGCTCGGTCCCAGAGAGGCCAGCGCGGAGAGAGAGGACGGGATCGTGATGGTTAGCGCTATCAGCCTGGCTCGAATGCGAGCGCACGTGGCATGTTTTGCAAAGGATCCAAACTCTTGAAGAACAGCTATTCAGCAACAGGGCCATCAGACACTCCCAACACAACAAACCCAAACACACCACGGGAGGGAAGAGTGGCAAAACAATGACTTCCCAACAGGCTCCATCTCTGGTGGGTTCTCACCGCTCCTCAAATCCTTTAGTGCACAGACAACGCCAGACCAGACTAGGTTTGAAAGGCAATTGCGAGGGTGTCCCTTGATTCTTTTATCCTGGGGGTGTGTGGGAGGAGTAGGTGGGCGTTAGAGCAGTGCTGTGCTAGGCTGGGTTGGAGGGCTTCAGAACCACCAGATGTTCCACTGCCCCTTCCGGCCTCAGAAGAACTTATCGTCGATTCGGAAGTGGGGTCTGGTCACGTCGTCCGGGTTGATGAACACGGAAATGGACTTGCCCGGGTTTTCCGTCACCAGTTGCTGCAGTTTTTTGGCCAGACGATCGTCTGGTTGTCTCCCGTCTCCCGTGCTGCCGTCAGACTGTGGGGAGGGTGTGTTGGGGGCGCTGCCCCTCCGCTGCAGCTCCTGGGTCAGCCGGTTGGCGGCCTTGACGTGCTCAATGGCGGTCCGCAGGTGCTCGGTGGGGTCAGAGCGCACGGACGAGAGCTTGCGGGCGTGGAGGATGACCGTCTGGTCGGAGAGGTGCTCGAACATGTTACACTGGGGGATGAAATAATTGGGGCAGGAACGGTTCACCAGGCAATGCTGAAGGTCGTCAATGAGACCCAGGAGAAAGTGAGCAGCAAACTCGTCCTGCACCAGGAAGGTAGCCGGGAGGCGGTCACAAGCCCACAGCATCATGCTCCTCAAGTGATAGGGGCTGATGGCTTTGGGTCGAGAGAGGAGCTTCATGATGATGGCCTTGCACGCTTGGTAACCCTGCATCAGGCTACTGGAGATACACTTCTTGAGTTGGACCTCACTCCTGGCGAAGGACAAGCGCCACTCGTTCTCCCGTTTGCCCGTGAAGGAGCAGGCGGGCACCAGGTAGAAGCCGCTGATCACCTCCTCCTCGGTGATCTTGCCATCCCAGAAGTGGTTGTCCATCAGCCAGCTCTGGGCCACGGCCGGCCAGCCCTTGAAGGAGACCACGGGGATGATGTCGTACAGCATGCGGCTAGAGCCCACGCCCAGGATGACGGTGATGACCGTCCCGTTCTTCTCCACCTGCTCCACCCTGGGCATCCCCCGCTGGGGCTTCCTCTGGATTTCGCCCAGGACCACCGTGGTCGAGTCGTAGAACCAGTCGGCCACTTTGGTGGGGGAGAAGAAGTAGTTGCTGGCCCCGTTGATGTGCTCCACGATGGTGCAGCAGTCTTCCACTTGTTGATGGTTCCCTCGTCGAAGAGGCGCAGGCTGAGCCAGGAGTGGCACAGGGTAGAGTGACGCATGTCCAGGGTCACTGGCTGGTTACGGTCGTGGAGTTTGAGGGCGGGCACCAGCAGGGTGAAGTCCATGTCATAGTCGGTGCCTCTGGCGTAGACGCTAAGGTCCTCCTGGTCCATGTCCACAACCCCCTCCCTCACACCACCAGACAGCAGCAGGTACTCGTTAGCCACAGGCAGCTTCTGGTCTAACTTCTGTACCATTCCTAAGAGAGAGGGGGAGAGAGAGAGCAAGAGAGTGAGTGAGAGAGGGGGCGTGTGTGAGAGTGTGAGTCAGTGTGTGTGTGAGAGGGAGGTGGGAGTGTGAGAATGTGTAGAGAGAGGGGAGTGAATGTGAGTGTGTAAGAGAGAGAGTGCGTGTGAGAGAGTGTGTTTTTGTGTGTGAGTGTGTGAGAGAGAGAGCGAGTGTGTGAGAGAGAGCGTGTGTGTAATAGTGAGAGAGAGTGTGTGTGTAATAGTGAGAGAGAGTGTGTGTGCGAGTTTGAGAGAGAGAAAAAAAATCATCAGGAATGGAAAATAGCCCGACCATGTAAGCATGATTTTTAATAATAATAACAATAATAATCCTTGCATTTGATATAGCGCCTCATTGTGTCATTGAGACGTCTCAAAGCCCTGCATAGGATATACAGTAAAGTGGAGTGACTGTGTATTTTGTGTGCCTTCCGCTTGTCGTGGCCTGAACATTTGGCTCCTGAGTGTAGAGACTGTGCTCAACCACAAGGTGTCCAACCCTGACGGTGGGGGGAGTGGGTGGCAGGGGCAGGGGGAGGGGATGAGCATGGCATTGAACACAATGTTTGTTATAATGGGATCAGACACAGAGAAATATAAGACTGTAGGCAGGGACAGGCACTGGGATCGCTGTGTGCTGGCTCTGTTAGCGCTACTCGACCCCTGGGAGCGTTACAGCCAAGCGAATGGAGTTGGCACGCTGCGTGTTGGCACCAGCGAGGGGAATAAAGCAGCCAATAACAGCTGAAGGTCAGTGTCTCCCAGAGCCACGTCTGACACCAGTGTCCGTTTCAACCTTCCCCTCCGGAGCTGCCATCTCTCTGCCCTGCAGGGAGCACGGATTTCAGAATCACACTCAACTGTTCCACTGGCTCCATCTGCCCCCACTCCCTGCAGCTCCCACTAAATTAGTGCTGACTTCTGGCACATTTCCTGAGCACAGCGGTCAAAACCTGACCACCTCTCCACGGCTGAATTCAAAGAAGATTGAGATCTCAGAGTAGAAAATACGCCCCATATAATAATAAAGTGAATTGACAGTATATTTGTGGATGAAACGCAGTAGCCAATTGCATACAGCAATGTCCCACAAAAGTCGTGGATTGAGTGATCAGTTTTTTATTTTTTTTATTTTAATTTGCAGGGATTATTTCACTGTGAGCAAATTGGCTGCCGCTCTTGCCCTCAAAAATACACAGTCACTGCGCTTCACAGTAAATCTTCTGAAGCACTTTGTGACGTCTCGACAATGTGATAAGGCATATTATCAAATTGCAAGGATTAATATGTATTGTTTTTATAATAATGGTCCCGGCATCCCAAGAAAGGACAGGGAAGAGAGCGAGAATAAAATACAGTATAGGAATCTGGTTCCGAGCAACCAGCTTGTTAGTTTAGAACAAAGAGCAGAACATCAAACAGAATATATTCTTTTTAAAAAAAATCACTGACATCAAACTGGGCCAGTTGAGCTCAGAGGGCGCTGTTGGTGGCTCAATACTCCTTCATTCACAAAGCCACAGCTTTAAGAGGAACGGTAAATCTCAACAGTAACTGCACATCCCCACAGCGCCTGTCAGTTCAATTCAGTTCCTGTCTGGAGAGGTTACAAGCAGTGACAGGTAGGGGGCACCACTGGGTGCAGGTAACTCCCAGGCGGTAGCAGAGACGCCAGACTCCTGATGGCTTCAAATTCAAATGAAAATTGTGAAAGAGCAATACACTGGGGGGGGGGGGGGGGGGGGGGCTGTAGTGTAGTGCGACTGGAGCAAACGGGATAAGGCAGGGAATATCAGTGTGCTCAGAGCCAAGGATGACCTTTTTTTTTGCACAGACACAACTTTTCTTCAAGCGCATATCAAATTTCACTCCAGACACTCGGGAGTGTCATCAAATTTTCAACGCGTTAGCTGATTCCTGCTTCCCCAACACAGACGCATCTGCTCAACTAAACCGCTTCTGCTGCCATGAAATTAGGCCCAAGTCCACATCACAGAATCCAAACATCTCACACCATCGCTGTCACACACAGCCACTGTGTGTAGACAAACACAGGCCAATTTATACACACACACGTGCCTGCGCACGCACACGCTCACACAAGCGTGCACGCGCACACATGTACAGGCATGCGCACACACAGACTCACGTGCGCACACATTCAGACACAGGTGCGCACGCACACACATACACGCGCACACAGGCATGCACACACACGCACGCACACATGCACACACAGGCGCGCAAGTGCACATACACACAGGCATGCACAAACGCGCACACACAGGCATGCACACACACACGCACACACAGGCATGCACGCATACGCACACACGTGCGCGCGCACACGCGCAGAGCTATGAACTGAAAGACCAATTAATCTGTGTGCGAGGCGAGGGGCACACGTGAGATGGTTGTGGACAGCACTTCAAGAGAAATTCAACAACAACTTGCATTTACACTGTGCCCTTCGCGCGGGGCAGCGCCTGGGACGCTTAACAGTGGCGGAGCCTGACGCCGAGCCGGAGAGCAGGGAGGAGGTGACCGTAAGCTCAGGAGAAGAAGAAGGGCTTCAGTCGTGATCTAAAATAAAGCGGAAGGATTGGGGGAGAGATTTCACTTCTCTTTTCGAATTAAGTTGAATCTTTAGAGTTCACCTAAGCACGTACAGACTTACATCTCTTCTGAAGAGATGGTGATCCGATGGTCATGTGTGTTGTGTGTGTGTGTCGTGTGTTGTGTGTGTGTCGTGTGGGTGTCGTGGGTGCGTGTGTGTCGCGTGTGTATGACGTGGGCGTGTGTGTAAATTGCGGCTGAGGTCCAATCCCCGACTTTCAAAATTGCAAAAGCGAGCAAGTTTGCTAACGGCTTCCTGATACCCTCACTCTATTTTTCCTCTATGAAATCATCGTTTCCAACACTTTTGCAGGTTGTGTTTATTTCTGTGTTGGAGGAACAGATGTCCTGGTTTTCCTGGCTGGTTGGCAAAACAGATGACACGGGGAGAGGAGCCAGGAACAGAGAGAGAGAGAGAGATGGTAGCCAAGTGGGCATACTCGCTCTGATGCCGAGCGGCCTTTGCCAAGAATGCTGAGGAAATAATGATAATAATCCTTGCATTTGATAAAGCGCTTAATCACGTCGTTGAGATATTGTAAAGTGAATTGACTGTGTATTTTGTGGGCGAAATGCTGCAGCCAATTGCACACAGCAGTGTCCCACAAACAGTTGTGGATTGAGTGACCAAATTTTTTTTAAGGGAATATTATCCCCGGAAAGCGATCCGTCAACCGACTAACAACCGGGTTGCTACTTACTGCTGGTAACCAGAGGCGTGTGGAGTAAGGAAACTTGCTTAAGCTTTTTCCCTGCCCAAGAATCGAAACCAGGTCCCCCCCCCCCCCCCCCACCCACATTTACCAGTTTGGGACATCCTCCCGATGTGAAAGGCGCTCTATAAATGTAATTTTATTATTGTTATTGTTGTTTGTTCAGACCCCCACCAGCCACACACACACACACCACACCTCTCAGGTACAGTATTACAGAGCGGCGTGTGATCAGTGAAGGTGGCCCTGAGCTAAGAACAATCCCTCTTGTCCACTGCAAAGAGCAGTCACCTCGCTCTCCCAATCAAACATCCACCCACTTGGGCAGGGAGTCCTCCCTCTCAGCTCCTGTTAACCCGGCAGCCAAAGCCTAAAGGGTAGGGTGGTCCAGACAGCGATATCAATGGCAAGCTGTGTGGTTTTGGCTGGTTAGACTCCAGCACTCCAGACTCCAGCAAGATGCCTCAACGCACACTCTGGGCTCCCACAAGCCTTGGCTCTTGCCAACCTGTGCCTAATACTCTCCGGAATTAGGTAAACAGGATTCGTCCCTCCAGGGGGAGAGAGAGACACAGAGAGAGCGCATTCCATTCCAACAACCTATCTCTGTAATGTCCATGTGTAAGTGGGAGGCAGGGAAATCTCAACTTGGTTTGGATACTCTTAAGCAACAGTGATGGGTTTCCACATGTGTCAGACACCCGGCTGACAAAAAACACTTCCCCTTTCCCCATTTATTCTATCCAGATTTACACACCAACACACACATTCCTTCCTCCTGAGATTTGCATTCTCTCTGAATGGAACAGATGCCTTCATTGTCCTCAGGTCATTTATTATACCCAGATGGGTGGAGGCGGGTTAGGGAAATTAGGTGAAAGTGTTCAGAGCAGCGAGCACTCACACGTTAACCTGTAGCCATCTCAACCATCTCAAACCTTTCCAGAGAATCTGGGACAGAGAGAGGTATTGGCTAAAACCAAAGTTCCATTAATCCCTAAAACACCAGCAATTAAATAATAAAACTTTAAAAAATCCTTGCATTTGATTCAGCGTCTTGTTACGTCATCAAGGCATCTCAAAGTGATTCGCAGGATATACTGTAAAGTGGAGTGACTGTGTATTTTGTGGGTGAAACATGGCAGCAGGTTTGCGCGCAGCAGCATCTCACAAATGGCTATGGAATGAGGGACCAATTTTATTTGGGGGATTGTTGGCCAGGACAGCTGGAGAGAGAGAGAGGAACTCCCTTCTCTCTTCGAGTAGCACTACAGGAGCTTTAACCGACAGAGGGGAGCTTGGTTTAACATCTCGCACTTCCGAGACACGGCAACACCCCCCCATCCCCCCCCACCCCCAGCTTCAGCTTAGACTGTGATTCTAAAGTCCCAATGTGGGGGCTTCAACCCACAACCTTCTGGCTCAGGAGGCGAGAGTGTTACCACTGAGCCAGGCTGACACATGACACATACGCAACAACAAATTGCATTTATTCGGTGTCTTTCACGTTGAGAGGACAATCTCTCATTAAACGCAGTTTATCCAATCCAATAGCTGAGGGGATACGAAAGCTCCATCCATTCTCTCCCTTGCTCACAATGCTGAGCATTGTCTTGTGGATTCCCAGCTCCTGTCTTTACGTCAGATGATGGAAATGAGCTAAGTTTGAGTCTCGCATTGCATTGGTTGTTTGATGGCTCCCCTCGCTTTCTAGCGAAGCTGGAGCTAATCCGCCACGTGAGCGATTGCAGTGAATAAAACCGCAAGGATTACCAGAGCTTCTGAGGAATTAATCTTCTGTCCAATACTTCAAAGCTCCGAGACTTTGAGAATCAGCAACCAACCATCATCTTCCCCCGTCTCAAAGCGCTTCGCAGGATACACTGTAAAGTGTAGTGACTGTGTATTTTGTGGGCGAAACGCGGCAGCCAATTGCACACAGCAGCGTCCCATAGTCAGTTATGGATTGAGTGACCACATTTTTTTTGTTTATTTTTGCAGGGATTATTAACCCCTGGAAAGTGATCCGCAAATCGACTAACAACCAGGGTCCTACTTACTGCTGGTAAACAGAGGCGTGTGCAGTAAGGAAACTTGCCTAAGCTTTCGCCTGGGTTTCAAACCCGGTTCCTCTCGCTTTCCGAGGCGAGCACGCTAACCACTGCGCTATGGAACTGCACGTCTATACAGCGCCCTTCACGGAGGATAGCGTCTCAGAGCGCTGGTTCCGGTTCCCCATGAGGTGAAAGGGCTGCCATGGGGACAGGAGGCACCCACGACTGTCGTGTGAACAGGCGACACAATGCGGACACGGTGAGACACGAGCCCAGCTCGATCGCGGGCAGGAAGTACAATCGTCTCCTGTGGTTCCCGTTGCTTTGCCTGAAGGCAGCCAGAAATAGCTGCAGCAGCCTGCCAGCCAACCCAGCAACCACACTAACACCCTCAGCCGCGGGCTCACATCCAACACAACATTCAAACCGAGCCGGTGCCAGCCTGGCTCACCTGGCAGCACTGGGGTGAGAGAGGGTTGGGGAGGGTTGGGGGGTGCTGGTCAGCCGGGTGTCAGACACACACACAAACCCATTACTGAGACCTGGATTCAATTCCAGGCAGAGGGCGAAACCTTGGGCGAGTTTCCTTACTCCACACAGAGCCTAATAATAATCCCTCCAAAAAAAAAACAATAAAAAATTGGTCATTTTCAATCTACGACTGTTTGTGGGACATTGCTGTGCGCAATTGGCTGCCGCGTTCGCCCACAAATATACAGTCAATTCACTTTACAGTATATTCTGTGAAGCGCTTTGGGACGTCCTCCCGATGTGAAAAGCGCTATATCAAATGCAAGGATTATTATTATTATTTTTATTATTATTATTACTGTGTGTAAGAGTATCCAAACCAGACTACACATGGAAATTCCCATGTCTGAAACAGAAATGTACGCACAGTAGCCCATAAACAGCCATGGAGTGAGTGACCAATATTTATTGCAGGGAATCGCTAGCCAGAGGATCCGGGTTCAATCCCCTGACTGACAATCCCCCAATAAATATTGATTACGGGACTCCAAGATCAACGTAGAATGTACAGTTGCATTTTATGACTTAGCCATAAGCGTTGTTTCACGATGAGGAGTATGAATCTTGTCCGATTTTCCTAGCCTCCGTCCCTCACCCCCAGGAGCACAGGAGTGAGGGGGGGAGGGCGGGGTAGCGAGAGGGACAACAGTCCAGGTTTAGCTGCAACTGAGTTCAGCTCATTCCAGGGATCAATCTCTAAGCTTCGGGTCTGTACGGTTCAGTGCAGCCACTGGACAGTCAGAGGAACCAACAATAGAGGTTTGTTATCATGGCTGGTTTTGCTCGAACGTTTATCAGAGGTTCCACAATACTGAAGCCAGACACAACAAGAAATCTGGCTGCAATTTTTTTTCCCCCAGTTGATTGCACAAGTGGGCACAGAGGGCGGATTCAGAACATTAACCCCTTCCCCCATTTTCACAAACCATTCTGGTCTGAAGCACCCTGAGATTTATAGGGGCAATACAGCTTCCAGTGGAAGGGAGTGTGTGTATGGGGGGGGGGGGAGGGGGGAGGAGAAATATGGGGGAATCTGATAAACAGACTGACAAGTAGCAAGTGAATGATTACCCTCCCCTCCCCCACGTCAGGACCTTACCCACAGAGCGAGCTCTCTCCAGCCGAGCTGATGACCTTTGGATCTCAGAAGTCAAGAGTCTTTAATTCCTAGAGTTACAAGTGTGTATTTAGCAGATTCCCTGAGGAGAGATGTTAAACTGAGCTCCCATCTGTTCCCTGTTCAGGTGGTCAAAATACAGTCAATCCACTTTACAATAAATCCTGTGAAGCACTTTGAGACATCTCCCCTCATGCCCTGGCACATCACTAACTCTCCCAACCCACTACCCGCTGCCTCCGCTCAACTGACTCCGGCCTCCTGCATGTCCTTTGTGTCCTCCCTTCCATCATTGATGGCCCCGCTTTCAGCCACTACACCCTGAAACTCTGGAACACTCTTCCTCTCTCCCTCCACCTTGCCCCTTCCTTCCCCATCCTCAGATCGTCCTGGAAGACCTTCCTCTTCGACTTACAGCCGCCTCCCCCCTCCCCCCAGCTCGGCATCGTGCTCCACCACTGTCCAGCGCTCTGGGACGCTACCCTGTACAAGGGGCGCTGTGTAAACCCAAGTTGTTGTTGTCTCAACAACGTGATCAGGCGTTATATCAAATGCAAGGATTATTATTATTTTTATTATCATCAATGACTGAGGGAGAAGTGTATCCAGCAGGTCTGTGCAGCAGCCAGAACATGACACCTGCGCACTGTCAGCTTGCTATTTGGTTGGAGCGGAGCTGGAGGGGTTAATGAACTGGGTCAGTCAAACCCACCAGTCACACCACATTCAAGGTAACGACCGACTCAATAAAACGGTACTGAATAAACACAACATCACTCACAAGACAAGATAATAAGTAGAATGGGATTAGAGAGCTCCAGTGGGGGAGCGAGGATAATTTTCTCACATCCCCTCTCCCAAAAATAACAGGGGGAAAAGCTTTAAATCCCACACACGCCCATTCGTCCCCCTTCCCCTCCCCCTTCCAACATGAGTGACTTGTTCCTGAAGCTGCCGGTTTGGGTCCTTCTGTCAGGAAGAAGTGAAGCAGTAGAATTTCACCTTCAGCCTCTCTGTCCCCACCCTTTGGAAGTCCATCCCACAGTCCCTTCGCCTCGCTCACTCTCTGCCCTCCTTCAAGTCCTGTTTCAAGACCCTCCTCTTCGACTGCCACTTCAGCCACCCTCCTACCCCCACCCTCCCTGCCCTCCACCCCTCCTGATCCCAGCTCGGGTCCAAATCCCTGACTGTCCAGCATATTGTGATAACCTCCTAGATGTGAAAGGAGCTGTATAAGTGTCATTTGTTGTGGCTGTTGTCACATGTAACCCAGTGAGATTGCAAACTGAGATAGTGTCATTTGCTTCAAGAACAAATCAGATAAAAGATTCCTGCAAGAAAGTAATATCTGGGGATACAGTATATAGTTTGGGACACGACATGTCAAGCGACTGCCAGGATGGTGGAAGGTGAACTGGATTGACCTGTTGTCCAGCAAATTCTTGTGTTCTTAAGTGAGTTCCGCTGAGATTTATGTCAGCAATGTGAGATCAAAGCGGGGTGTGTGGGGGTGTGTGGGGAGGAAAAGAAACTGCATTATCAAACACACCCTATAAATATGTGATAAAGAGAGACCGTCGCTTTTTATCCGTTTGATTTTTTTGCAAACCAATAGACACGGGTCGGTATCAAGGTCTCATTACACAAGAGCAGGTTCTGCTGCTGTTAAACTGCACTGGAAGAACAAAGTCTCTCTCAGCACAATCTCTCCCCGATCAACAATAAACTGTAAAGGTTAATGGGCGGCTGGTTACCTGCCACGTATGTGAGTTCAGACCTCTGTATGCCAAACTTTTTGCCAGAGATTTATTTAATTGGAATTACAGTGTCGATGGATAGATGGTGGCGGGGTGGGGGCTGGGGGCGCGGGCAATTGGGGATGGGGTAGAGAAGATGTCTTGACTAAAGTCCCGTAGAGTGCCCTGTAGCGTAACGCTTAGCACGCTCACCTCACAAGCGAGATGACCCGGGTTTGATTCCTGAGTGGGGTGAAACCTTAGGCAAGTTTCCTTACTCCACACACCTCTGTGTACCGAGCAGTTAGTCGATTGGCAGATTGCTTTCCAGGGGTAATAATTGGGAAAGGCGCCGTATAATACGAAGGATAATAATAACAATCCTTGTATTTATCACGTCGTTGAGACGTCTCAAAGCGCTAAATTGGACTGACTGTGTATTTTGTGGGCAGAAGCCAATTGCACACCGCGATGTCCCGCAAACTGTCCAGCGTCAAAACCAAAGATCTGCTGCGTTTGGGCCAACACAGTGCGGTACAGTACAGTGTACCTGTGAACCACTTCGACACGTCTCGAAGACGCGATAAGGCGCTACATGAAATGCAAGGATTATCATTATTCACTCACTCCTTCTCCCCCCCCCACCCCTCTCCAACACACACACACAGACCCCCCCCACCCCCCACAGAGCCGCAGGTTGCTCTGCAGGAGCTCACCCAACATGGAGAAGATGAAGTCTTTGGCTGTGTGCACCTCCAGTGCCCTCTGATCATCGTACTCCCTCTGGTCGTGTTTGCTGAACTCCAGGATCAGGCGGTTCAGCTCCTCCATCCTGGCGCCAGACCGAAAATCCAGCTCCGGGAAAGGCTTACACTTGGTGCCCGTCCCGTTGGTAGCCGCCATCTTCCAGCAGATTGTTTTAAAAGGAAAAAGAGAGAGAGAGGGAGGGAGGGGAGAGAGAGAGAGAGAGGAGGGAGTGGGAGAGAGGGAGAAGGAGGGAGGAGGGAGGGAGGGAGAGAGAGAGGGAGGGGGAAGGAGGGAGAGAGGGAGGTAGAGGAGAGAGAAGGAGGGAGGAGGGAGGGAGGGGAGGGGGAGAGGAGAGAGAGAGGGGAGAGAGAGAGGGGGGAGAGGGAAGGAGGGAGAGAGGAGAGAGAGGGAGGGAGAGGAGAGAGAGAAGGAGGGAGAGAGGGAGAGAGGAGAGAGAGAGGGAGGGGGGAGAGAGAGAGAAGGAGGGAGAGGGGAGAGAGAGAGTGGGAGAGAGGAGAGAGGGGGAGAGCTGCTCTCACACTGTTTGCTCTATGTTACCGCCTGTGGGAAATACAGAGAATTGTGCATTTCCTTCAACCTCTCCTCCTCCTCCTCTGTGTGAGTGTGTTTTTCTCTCTCTCTCTCTCTCTCTAAGGAAATGTGTGTGTAAGAAGCTGAGAGAGTGAGAGGGAGTGAGTGTGAACACACACACACACACACAGTGCGCGGGGTACCCCTCTCCCAGTCCCTGTCCCTCTCTCTCTCTCTCTCTCTGTGATGAATGGAGAAGAATGAATGGAAACAAACCTGAGATCAACAACACTCCGCCACCGGTTACAATGTATCCCGAGATCTACTCTTAAAGCCGAGCCGCACCCTCCCGCCGCCGAGAAATAAATTCACTTACCCCCCCCCCCCACCCCCCGACATCAGTTTCCTCAGCCATTATATGGCGGTGTTTTTGTTTTAATCTTCTCTTCTTTTATTTCCCCAAAAAATTCCATCGCTGTTATTCTCACCTATTTTTGCCATTTCAGTCCTGGACTCAAAATGGCATCACCACAATGCACAAGAAATCAACTTCGCTCCCTGTCAGTCGGTGTTTCGGGATTGATTTGTGTGATTTCCGTGTATTTTTCCCGTGCGTTTGATTATTGTAACTTCCTTTCCTTCCTTTTTATGTAGTTAATAAAAGATTGGTGGAGTCCTCTGGCATATTCCCATTGGCGGGTGGGTCGGTAACCCCAGGACACTCATTTCAAATAGTTCTTAAAAGAAACAGATGGGGGGTGAGGAGAAATGTTTTCACGCAGCGAGTTGTTGAGATCTGGAATGCGTTGCCTGAAAGGCCGGTGGAAACCGATTCGATAACAACTTTTAAAGGAGAAGTAGATAATTATTTGGGGAGGACAAGTTTGCAGAGTTATGGGGAGAGAGCGGTCGAGTGGGATTCATCAGGGCTATGGGGAGAGAGTGGGGGGAGTGGGGTTGATCAGGTCTATGAGGAGAGAGCGGGGGAGTGGGGTTGATCAGGTCTATGGGGAGAGAGCGGGGGAGTGGGGTTGATCAGGTCTATGAGGAGAGAGCGGGGGAGTGGGGTTGATCAGGCCTATGGGGAGAGAGCGGGGGAGTGGGGTTGATCAGGGATATGGGGAGAGAGCGGGGGAATGGGGTTGATCGGGGCTATGAGGAGAGAGCGGGGGAGTGAGGTTGATCAGGGCTATGGGAAGATCGCGGGGTAGTGGGGTTGATCAGGGCTATGGGGAGAGAGTGGGGGAGTGGGGTTGATCAGGGCTATGGGGAGAGAGTGGGGGAGTGAGGTTGATCAGAGCTATGAGGAGAGAGCGGGGGAGTGGGGTTGATCAGGGATATGGGGAGAGAGCGGGGGAGTGGGGTTGATCAGGGATATGGGGAGAGAGCGGGGGAGTGGGGTTGATCAGGGCTATGGGGAGAGCGATGGGGAGTGGGGTTGATCAGGGCTATGGGGAGAGAATGGGGGAGTGGGATTGATTTGGAAGCTCTTTTCAAAGAGCGGCACAGACACAATGGGCCGAATGGCCTCCTTCTGTGCTGTATAATTCTATGATTCTATGATATTGGTTAGAGCAGTCGAGAGGATCGGGATTCGATTCCTGAGCGGGGCGAAACCTTAGATAATTTTCGTTACTCCACACGCCTCTATTTATTCAGCAGTAAATAGGAACCTGGTTGTTAGTCAATTGGCGGATCGCTTTTCCAGGGTAATAATCCCTTAAAAAAATTGGATCACTCAATCCACAACTGCTTGTGGGGCACTGCTCTGCACCATTGGCCTCCGTGTTTCGCCCACAAAAATACAGTCAATCCACTTAACAGTATATTCTCTGTAAGCACTTTGAGACGTCTCAACAATGTGATAAGGCGTTGTATCAAATGCAAGGATTATTATTATTATAAAAATTATGAGTTATCCTCCTGTCCACCGTCCTCAAATAGTTGTGAACATTCCCACACTGCAACCTTTTCTCATTATTTATTATTATGCTGGTAGGCCGGATGTCTAACACCCATAGAAACCCATCACCGCTGTTTAAGAGGAAATTCCACAGATAGATTATTGGAATGGAATGCGCACTCTCTCTATGGAGCGATGTATCCGTTTACCTAATTCCAGAAAGTTAGCAAGAACCAAGGTTTCGGGATCCTGAATGCATTTAATGCACAATTAACTTGTCTTGATACAGCTTTAAATGACATTTGTAATGGATCATTCTCTCACAATCACATTACCTTACAGGAGCCACTGGAGACTGGGTCACAGAATATACTGTAAAGTGTAGTGACTGTATTTTGGTGGAGAAACACGGCAGCCAATTGGGCACAGCAGCGTCCCACAAACAGTCGTGGATTGAGTGACCAAACAACATCTTGCATTTACACAGCGCCCTTCACGTGGGGTAGCGTCCCCGAGCGCTTCACGGTGGCGGAGTCTGACAACGAGCCAGGGGGACAGGGAGGGGGGAGGTGGCCGTAATTACGATCAAAAAGAAAGGTCTTTAAGCAGGATTTGAAGGTGGGGAGGGAGGGGGCAAGACAGAGGCATTGAGGGAGAGAGTTCCAGAGTTTCGGAGCATAGTGGCTGAAGGCACGGCCACCGATGGTGGATAGAGGGCACGAGGGATGAACAGGAGGCCGGAGCCAGCTCAGCGGAGGCAGTGGGTGGTGGAGTGGGGGTGAGCAGGTTGGAGAAGTAGGGAGGTGCGAGGGCATGAAGGGATTTGAAGAAGTGTGAGGGGATCTTGAAATCAATCTATTCAGTGATTGGGAGCCAGTGGAGCCTGGCAAGGACTGGTGTGAAGTTACGATGGGAAGACAATTTTTGGGGTGTACATTCACCCGGGTGTCTGACACACATGGAAACCATCACCATGATCTGCTGGGTGTCTGACACAAGGGGAAACCCATCACTGTGCTTAAGATTATCCAAACCAGATTGATAATTCCATGCATCCTACCTACACATGGAACTTCATAAAGCCAATAGAGTGGGTGCTCTGGAAGAATGAGATGGAATTTCTTCACTCCTATGTCCCCTCTCTGTGTCTTTGGCTGGGTTTCGGGGTATTGGGGGGGTGGTGGGGGGAAGAGGGGTCGGGGGGTGATAAAAAACGACACAGGACATTTCAAGGGCAGTTCATTTTTGGGTTGTTTTATTTTGGACCGAAACAATGTAGGTTTCATGGTTTTTTTCTCTCTTACTCCCATACATTTTGTTTTGAGCAAACGCAGCTTTAATTTCTACAATTCTTAGAATTCCCAACTTTGTGCTGTCTCCCATTCTCTGAGGTTTGGAATTAACGCGCTCTCCTGTGGATGGAGGTTGGGGACCGGTTGGAGACACGAGGATCCATTGGAACTCCGAGGTTCTCCAGACTGACCGACCTCTTCAGTCCCTGCCCAGCGCTGCTGTGCTCCTTGGCGTGACGCAGGTGCCGGTAGCGGACTCGGTTGTGCCGGCTCTTCCACACCTCGGCCAGTTTCAAGTCTCCGTGTCCGTGCATTCTCTCTGTGTGTTGCTGCTCTGCTCTGTGATGCTCGTACGAGTACGGCAAGTAACACAGCAGCTCGCCGGCCGCCGACTGCACGTACTGAACCCGTTCCCGCTTGTGCCGAGTGCCAGATTTGTTGCCATGTCTGACCCGCAGCCTGGAGGCGGATAGGACCCGCTGCAGCGGGTAGCGGAACCTCTTGCGCACTTTGCCACTCGCTTTGCGGGCGAACGTGGCCGTCAGCAAATTCCACACCCACCAGCCGGGCGTCAGGAGGAATTGGATGAGAGAGAAGCCAGTGCTGGCATTCACATCGGGGGCTGGGGAACAGGAGCAGAAACAGCATCAATGCCAGCAGGTGACTGGGAAATCCATTCCAATATACTACTACTAATAATAATCCTTGTATTTGATACAGCACCTTATCACGTCTTCAAGACGTCTCAAAGCGCTTCACAGAATACACTGTAAAGTGAATTGATGGTATTTTGTGGGCGAAACGCGGCAGCTAATTGCGCACAGCAACGACCCACAAACAGTCATGGATTGAGTGACCAATTTTTTTTATGAAGAGATTATTACCCCCAGAAAGCGATCCACCAATCGACTAACAACCGGGTTCCTACTTACTGCTGGTAAACAGAGGTGTGTGGAGTAAGGAAACTTTTCCAACGTTTCACCCTGACTGGGAATTGAACCCAGGTCCTCTCCCTAACCACTGTGCTGCAGGACTCCAGACTCGTGCTGGAGAGTCAGCCTAGACTGGCAGCTCAAACTGAAGACTTGAGATTAAATTCCAATATTTAATTTGAAAAAGTTTTATTCCTTCCTGTAAAAACGCAAAGCATCCAAGCTACTTACCCTGCACTATGGGTTTTCTGAAATACTCAGCCAAGGCCAGTATACCATTGTAAATCTGTACCAAAGAAATTAAGTCAATGTTACTTCTCACCATCCAATTCAAAACACCTTCTAATATTCAGTGATTCATAGAATCATAGAATTATACAGCACAGAAGGAGGCCATTCGTCCCATTGTGTCTGTGACGGCTCTTTTAAAAGTGCTGATTTGGGATTTGAAATTGCACCTGGTCAGTCTGTCAATAATAATAATTTGATATAGCGTCTATCATGTTGTTGAAACGTCTCAAAGCACTTCACAGAATATACTGTAAAGTGAAT